GCTACCTGACACTGTGGACCTATTGATTAGGAGATGAACACACCGCCGTGTGTGTTTAGGCTGAGATGGTTAAAGCTGGTAAACAGGCTTGCCGTCTTCCATTTACAGTGTTTTTGCTGCTGGACAGGGATTGGCCGAGGCAGCTCTCACATCACCGATTCTCCCTCAGCGTTTCACGCGGCGTCTCAAACGGGCGTTTTTCGTGGCCGTCCACAGTGCCGCGGGGACTCACTGCTGCAGTTTGTGCTTCAGCCCGACGCCGCAGACGCCGCAGAGATCAGCCTCTCTGATCGGAGGTGAAACGTGTTTGTGGCGCAGACGTTCCTCTGACTCACGCCTCTGCGCTCTCTCGAGGAGCCTGCGAACCTCTCAGCGCCGCTTTGTTTGGGGCTGAACGAGCTTCCTGAAACGTTTCACCTGTCGACAGGCAGCTGACAGAGAGGACCGGCTCGTCTTCGGTTTAACGATGATGACGTCACAGTAAACAAGACAGACTGTATATGAAAGATGGACAACATCACCGTGGCGCTGGTGTGATGGTTTCTAACAGAAGCAAGCAAACATTTCTCACCACACACAGATACCTGTGAGTATCATCCTATCAAAACCCTCGAAGTTCATTCAGCAGACCTGGAGCTCCGCCTCCGGTAGCACAGCAACCTCACAGCAGCCCTGTGATTGGTCAGATTACCACAAATGCTCCAACGGGCTCTAACAGCACCAACACGAGCCGCCTGTGTCACCATCCACCTGTCGGTCACAGAGGCCACGCCCCTCACCATAGACCAAACGTGTGCGCCTCTGCTGGACATCAGAGGAACTACAGCTGATTAGCAGCTTCATTGTGAGCCTGAGAGGCTGTCACTGGTTCAAAGGTCAACACGCCTCCTGTTTCACCTGTGCGATGAGGTGAAGCAGAAGTGTTTGAGGGAAGCTGACGGAGTAAATCACCTGACTTCTCTGAGACAACGAGCAGCTCGACTCCTGACAACTGTTACAGATTTACACGAACACGGTGCAGGCGCCACGTTTCCCCGCCGTCCTCTCTCTGAGAGGCGACATCTGTGATGTACGAGGCGGGCAGAAATACGGCCCGAGACATCAGAGCTTTATTAACCATCGGATTGATGGAGGCTGAAAGGAGGCGGAGCAAAAAGGAAGAGATAGAGCAGCACAGACACAGAAACAGGAAATAATACGTACTTGAAACCCGGCGCAACGTTGGCGCAGCTCCCGGTCCGAAGCCAGATAC